ATATTCTTTATTTAACAAAGTTTGCAAGTTTTAGTTTTATTTAGGCTAAATTAATTTATAAATAAAAATGTTAATTTTTTTAATACCTATTTTATGTTTCGCGTAGTTTAAAAAGTTTAACATATTTGAAGCAATTCATCTTAGTAAGATAAACAAATGAAATAATTAAATCATTGAACTACTATAGAAATTAAATTAACAAGATAGAAATCAACTAAAAGGGTTAAAAATACTTTATGACAAGGAAGCGAAACTGCTTTACAATATCGCTGATGATGTTTAGTAAGTGAGCTTTTTAATTTTAATTAGTATTTAAAGCAGAAAAAAGTATAACGAGTTTTAAGAATGCAACTTAAGCGAAAATAATTAGAGTTAGTAAACCAATATCCAGAAACTTTTCTTTATATCTAATTATTTGCTATAAATATTTGTGTTCTGTCGTGACCTCAGGCGAGGTGCTTGTTCATCCGCAAGTTACTTTGTATGCATTGTTTGTGTTTAGTAACCAGAAACTTCTTATATTTTTGTTACATAATTAGTTTTATTAACTTTGACGATTATAACTTCTATGAAAACGCAAATATTTTTGTAAGTCTTTGTTTAAATCATAAAAATTGCTTTAAAAGATACATTACGATAAAAAACATATACACAAAATTACATTTACATAAAGAATACATATTTTTTAAATAAAAAATAAGAATATACTAATAAAATCTATAATTCATCATAAACTTTTAAAATTTTGGCAATTTAATTAATATATATTTAAAACATTTGTTTTTGTAAACAAGTAATATATATTCTTAAAACAATTTATGCTAGAAATCTCAAAACGTCACAAATCGTGAATAATACAATTTTTTTTAAACATTTCAACAGAACACGTGAGAACTTTATTTCGATTAGTCAGCATATTTTTTGAACCAATAGAATTAGTTTGTTTGTTAATTTGGCAGGTTTTTAGTGTTCACAAATATTCTTTTTTATTCTTTCGCGCCAAGAAATTTTGAGAACATTCAATTTTTTTATGTTTCCATGTATGTCTGTAAAACAAAAATTTTTTGTTTCGTACATAAACTTAAATGTTCTCAAAACGACTAAATAACCTGGCCAGTTTTTCGCTAACTAAATATAATTTCCGTGGTCAGTATTCGAGAGCGATTACTCCCGCTTCTCGACCAAGCCTGCTTCAGGATTAGGTCTAATAACTTTTACTGAAACTGAATTGATATTGACTGCTTCACGATTAGGTCTATTAATTTCTACTGAAACTGGATTGATGTTGAGTGTTTCAGAATTGGGTCTATTTGTAACCTGAGATAAAAAAAAATCCTCATCCTTCCACCGATCAGGTTGAAAAGGACTTATTCCAGATACTGAAAAACCACTAATGATGTTAACTGGCATTGATACTTTTGCCCAAGCATTTCCAGAAATTTCTGCAATGTCATAGATTAAAACAGTTTTTCCTGGATGTGATACCAACCAGCTATCAATTTCACGATTATAATAACGTTTGAAAGGTCTATACACTGTTATATCTAGTGGTTGCAGTTTGTGTGATGTATGGGGTGGGATTGTTAAAACAATTACACCATTATCTGATGCTAAGTCAATGAGGTTAATTGACATATGAGACTCATGATTATCTAGTATCAACAGCACAGGGTTTGCCTTAGATGGTTGAACACTTTTTATAAATTGATTAAACCACTCCATAAAATTTGATTCCACCATCCTACCAGATTTGTTGGCAGTGCCAACAGAACCAGGAATTGAATTTCACAGAAAAAAATCTTTAAAATGAACACGTGGAAATATGTAGAATGGTGTTATTGAGGATCCACTTGCATTTACTGCATTGCACATTCTTACCAAGATACCTCGTTCTGCACTTGTAACAGAAGCAACTTGCCTCTCTCCTCTCTTGGCTAAAACATGCTCTGGCACTTGTTCAGCAGTAACACCAGCAGATTATTATAAAATAGATCTACATTATACTTCTTGAATGCTGACATTCGACCAATTGATGTTGCCTCTGTTTTTCTTATAACAAATTCTGGATGACAACTTAAAAAAGCTCTAAACCAATCTACATCTGCATGTTTATTTGTTTCCCAAGGTTTAGCAGAACCTCGACGAGAATGTGGACACTTCTTCTCAAGTTTGAGAGCATATTCAAATGTTAGTTTTCTTAGCTTAATAGGACATTTTTGCAGAAAGTAAACAATATTGAACCAGCTCTTGTTCTTCTGTTACTGAAAAAATTTTCATAGAACTGTTACTATATGGACATTTGACTCCAAAAATCTCAACAGCTTTTCTTTCAGATAAAGTTTTAAATAAAACATTTTCAACTGCTTGTATCATATTATTGGGATCTCAATCACCTTTTAGTGCTGTTGCTTTTCAATGTCTCGTAATACTTCTAAAATAAATAAAACTTGTTTATAACCATATTTAAAAAAAAAAAAATTATCAATGCTATTTTATTTTTTTTAGATAATTAAATATATATATATATATATATATATATATATATATATATATATATATATATATATATATATATATATGTATGTATATATATATATATATATATATGTATGTATATATATATATATATATATGTATATATATATGTATATATATATATATATACACATATATATATATTCATATATGTGTATATATATATGTATATATATATACATATATATATATATATATATATATATATATATATATATATATATATATATATATATATATATATATATATATATATATATATATATATATATATATAATAATTATCTAAACACACACACATATAACATGTATAAAATGCTAAATTATATAAAAGCTTGAATGTAGGATAATTTTTTTATTATGATCAACAAGCTTTAGTAATTTAAATAAAACAATTAATTTACGAAATATATGTATATATATATACATATATATATATATATATATATATATATATATATATGTATATATATATACATATATATATATATATATATATATATATATATATATATATATATATATATATATATATATATATATATATATATATATATATATATATATATATATATATATATAATAATTATCTAAACACACACACATATAACATGTATAAAATGCTAAATTATATAAAAGCTTGAATGTAGGATAATTTTTTTATTATGATCAACAAGCTTTAGTAATTTAAATAAAACAATTAATTTACGAAATTTTATTCTTGGTTTTATTAGATATTAGTTGATTTTTCTGTATTGTAAAAACTACTGACCATGGTAATTGTCATTGATTTTAAAAACGTATAAATAACATTTCAGATATATTATATAGTATCTAGCATATTATATGCCATATAAAATATCTAGCATATAACTTTTATTATATATAGTAATACTATATTACGATATATAAATAAGTTGGTATTACTTTTAATAACATCTAGCATATAACATTTGTTATAAATACTATAAGTATGTATAACAAATGTTATATTCTAGATGTTATTAAAAGTAATACCAACTTATTTATATATCGTAATAATATTATGACATTCAGTTATTGAAATAATGAAACAAACTACAAATTAATAATTATTAACCTAATATGTAAGCTTAACAACAGACTACAAATTAATAATTATTAACCTAATATGTAGTCTGCTTAAACAAACTACAAATTAATAATTATTAACCTAATATGTAGTCTGCTTAACTTAATATTATATTGAATAATGAATAATTGAACTTAATTCCTTAAGTTTTCGTTAACAAAAGTTTATTAGATATTTTGGTTTATTTTTTAATTCACACCTCCTTAGTTCATTTAGATGAAAAAACTTGTGTATTTTGTTTTAGTAAGTAACATACCGAAGCGCGATAAATAACTTCGCAGAAAAATGATTCATTCATTACAATCAATGGTGGTTCATCCAGTTCACTAACCAAAATGTACATGTTACCCATATAATCACAGCAATCAGTAAATCATATAACATTCATTCTAATGTTATACAAAGTATAAAATATGTATCTATAATATTATTATTAATCATAGTTAACTTTACCTTAAAAATCTAGTGTAAATTGAAACAAATTGAAAAGATAAAAATTTACTTTTTGCTTGAAAAAAACAAAAAATACAAATATTAATGCATTATTACGAATAACGTTAAACCAAAAATATCAAAGAAACTTTGAGTATACAAAAATTATATACAATTAAAAAAAATCAATTAACAGCTTGTTAAGTTTTTATTTTTCTAATGTTCCATTCAGTACAAGGTCCGTTCAGTACCACTCTCCCTTCTAATAAACATACATATGCAAATGTATACAAATATGTACATGTACAAATGTAAATATGATATATATATATATATATATATATATATATATATATATATATATATATATATATATATGTATATATATATATATATATATATATATATATATATATATATATATATATATATATATATATATATATATATATATATATATATATTTATATATAAGTGTAAATGCAGTATGCAAAAACCTGATATATAAAAATTTGAAATCGCATGTCTTCCTAGCCAAACCTGATACATAAAGATTTGAAATCGCAAGCTTCCTAGCCAAATTTGATATATAGAAGTACAATTAACAGTTTTTATAAAACAACGATATATTGTATAGCAGTTATATACATTGTTTTATCAAAAAGATTGAATAATCTGCTTAAAAGTTTTAGTTTTTTTATATTTACTTATTTTTAATGGCACATTCTTTATATTATTACAAAAAAAGCTATCTTTAAATCTATTTATTTTAAAGGCATCTTTAGATCTATTGATTTTCAAACTTATTTTTCAAATAAGTAAGCTTCAAGTTAGCTTGAGATTATTTTTTTTTTTACAAATTTATTTACAATTTCAAAATTTGAATTAAAATGAATAAAAAAAAGTTTTAAAATTACTTTAGAGATGTTGCTGCAAGAAATATTCTTGTTGTTGATCCATTAACTGTGAAGTTAGCAGATTTTGGACTATCAAGGTGGATTGATGAAGAGCAATTGTACTATAAAGGTTACTTTTTTTTTTTTTAATCATTTTTTATTAATACTTCATCAGGTATTTGTTTGATATTATCTTTTATATCTTTATGTTTTATATATTTACTTTTTACATTTTAACATAAAAAGCAGAAATCTTGACAACACTACTTTGTAATGAATTTAAGTGCAACACAGACTCTAGTCTGAAAAAGTGCCAAGTAATTAACTTTTATAAATAATATTGTATGTATAAGTTGAAGACTATTTATTTTTAACAATACATTAATTAAATTAACAATTTTATACAATACCAATGATTAGGTTATATAATTACTATGAAATAATGACAAAGTAGATAAAAAATAGGATATTTATAAAATAGGTTTACTGAATCAAGGTTAACTCAAAATATTTCTTGAAAAGTTTTAAAAAGCTTACCCATTACATTGTTAATGTTTATGCATGGTTTAAAATTAAGAAATTTTTGAAACTGCATGATTTATCTCGAATTCTGTTCTTTACAATTAATCAATTAAATCATAAAAAAAAAAAAATTCAAGGAAATGTTTTTTGTTTGGTACTTGCAAACTTACTTTATGCGATGGTTTAAAATCATTACATGCAAATCAGAACTCTTGGTTTTGAAACAATACTCTCGGACAAAAGCAAATTTTTTAAATTATTTTTTCTATATATCATGCAGCTATAAAGTTTCAAGAGTTTATTAAGTTAATTAATAATGCAGGTTGTATTATAAGTTTTATTATTTTTTGGAAGTTTTTTTTATTACCAATATTTTTTTTTTAGAAAAAAACAAAACAGTTATAGAATAGAAAAGAAGACTTATGTAAACTTTTGACATGATCTTGCTTATATCATTATAATACCACTGACTAAAAATAAGATTTTTTGATGGAGAAATTAGCGCCTTCATTAAGAGTAAAATATGGCCATATGATCAAGACCAACAACTTATTCCCAGGGTGTTGAGAGATATTTTAAATTAGTTTCAAAAGGTTCTAATATCACATATGGATTTAAAGTCAGGCATGAATCTTTACTAATAAAACTATTTAGCTGAAAAATATGTTATTTATATTAAAAAGACCCTCAGCTATACAATGATTTCTTTATCTTTCTCGCTACATCCTCGAGAAATTTTTTTTTTAACTTTTTATTGTTTTTTTATGACATTAAATGAGTACAGTATTTGACTATTGTAAAGTTAATTTGATACACTGTCAAAATTTTACGTGTATAAGTTTTACATCATTTTGTTTTTCCTTGGTGTCTCAAGTTTTTCTGAATAAATTTTTATGATAAAGTGCTGAAAAATGTAAAACAAGCAAAAAGTAAATTTTTTTTTTAAACATTGTTGATGGGATACTTTTCAATATTGATTTGTAAATCACATAACAAAAAGCCTTCAGCTTTACACATATATTATTATCGCATATTTTGATAAAATTTGAAAAAGTTTCTTTAGGTCAGATCTGGAAAATATGATGAATGCAGGAGCGATTCAAAGCACAACTCACGCAATTTGCCATTTTTTATTAGTTTGTGATGTGGTGCATTATCTTTATGCATCGCATCATATGAAACATATTTAATGATGATAGTTTGATTTATTATATCATCTGCATTCCAAAATACTGATGCCATATCTTTGCCAGCCTACTGTTGCACCCTTCCATTGTTTTCGAAATTGCTCAAAATCATCAATTTGGTGTTGTTTTTGGTCAATTATGAGCTCGCATAGCACTTACTTTGCACAGACCTTTTACATACAAGTATTCATTTGTGATATGTCTAACAAATTCCTTTGATATCTTTAGAGCCTCAGATATCTCCATCAACTTCACTTAACATTCATCCAATATTATTTTGTATGTCTATTGTGTTTTTGTTTTTTTTTATGTTTTTGTTGGTAATAGCCTTTTTAAGGCACTCTCTTTGGTGCTTTAAATCACTTCTCAACATTTGCAAATCACTTCACAACAGTTGATTTTCCTAATGTCTGAATAATGCTTATTAAGCCAAGCCTTGGCTTCAACAATATTTTTTTTGAAATTCTTTATTTATCGTTTTCAAACTAACAAAAATCTATATAGTATATATATATATATATATATATATATATATATATATATATATATATATATATATATATATATATATATATATATATATATATATATATATATATTCCAGTAAACACACGACGTTTAAAAGACGCCTAAAAAACGTCTATAAGACGTCTAGACGTCTAAAAGACGTTTTTTAGACGTTTTTTAGACGTCGTGTGTTTACTGGGATATATATATATATATATATATATATATATATATATATATATATATATATATATATATATATATATATATATATATATATATATATATATATATACATATACATATACATTTATATATATACATATACATATATATTTAATTTTATATACTTGGATTAAATCACCTCTCATTCTTCACAATATGAATCTCTTATACTTAGATGTTTCAACCTTTCATCTATTTCAAATTCCTCAACAAAAGAACAAATCTAGTAGAGTAATGTTCCACTCTTTTTAAATCTTCAATTTTACCTTTGAAGTAAGGAGACCAAACAGGCACTGCAAATTTAATAAGGGGCCAAACAAATGTTGTATATAATAACCTAAGCATATGGACGTTATTTTTAGAAAAGTTATATTTAATAACCCTATCATTTTATTTGCTTTTGAGGTACAAACCATTATATGATCTTTACATTTCAAGTTTGAAGAAAATAATACTCCAAGATCTATTTCTAAATTTGTTTTTCTGAGTGATTTCCTGTCCGTAGAGTATTTATACTTTTTTTTCTTTTTACCTAAATGCATAACTACACATTTATTAGCATTAAATTTAACAAGCCACACCTTTGACCATTCAATGGCTTTATTTAAATCTAATTGCAATAACTCAGCATCATATCTATTTTTGACCTGACTAATTAACTTTGTATCATCTGCCTAATGTTTCCAGTTACAGTTAAAATGTTCTGCTAGGTCATTGATAAATATTACAAATAGGCCCAACTACCGATCCTTGTGGCATGCCACTTGCAATATCACTCCACTCAGAGACTACTTCACCTTGTGGGACTTGTTGTCCCACAAAGTGAAGTTATATTCCATCTTAAAGATAAGCTTCAAGTCATTTTAGCAGCTTACCAGTGATCCCATACCCTTTTAATTTATGTATCAATGTGTGATGAGGTACTGTATCAAAAGCCTTCACAAAGTCCAAGTAAATGATATTTACTGGATAACCAAAAATAAGTTGATTTGAGATATAATCTTAAGTTTCAAGAAGATTCGTGCTTATTCTTCACAAATTCGTGTTAAAAAAGCAAAAGAAAAAATTTTTTAAGCATATGTTTCATAACCGACTTCCCTACTATGCCTTTTAGTATTTTGCATGGTACGGAATTCAACGAGACAGGTCTATAGTTTCTGGAAAGTAATTTATTTCCATTTTTAAAAATTGGAGTAACATTAGCCGATCTCCATTGAATAGGTAACTCCATTGAATATATAACTGCCTCTAATAATTAAAAAAAATAATAGTTTAAGGTATAGCCAGGCTGTCTGCACAAATTTTTAAGAAGACATGGTTGTATGCTATCTGCTCTGCATGATTGATCTGGATTTTTTTTAATCTTTTGCAGACTTCATCATACATAATAGTAAGATGCTCAATATCTAAATATTTTTCACTATTTTTTAAATTTGGAATCTGGAATTTCTCCTGGTTTTTCACGAATAAATACTCATAAAGTTTATCAATCATACCTACTATTTATACTACAATACCTACTAATTCTTTCATTAAGGCTTTAATAAAACTCTTTACAGTTCACTGATTGTTTATGTAATGAAATAACACTTTTAGATTTTTTATAGATTTTACGATTAGTTGTTTTTCATATTTATTTCTAGCTCTTTAAATGCTTTATTTCACAGTTATTTCATGATACATTTTCTTATACTGCTTGTTCAAAGTGGAATTTTTCCAACCAGCAGAACAATTCAAATATCGAAGTTTTTTTTAAAATCTTTTTAAACCCTAAAGGCTGCGATCAATTCAAGGATTTTTAAAAATACGATTTACATTTATCTTGGGTACAATCTTTCACATGTTTCATTAAGATAGAATATTTGGATATCATACATTAGTTGAACTGATTTATTTTTGAAATACCTTAACCAGTCTATAGTGCTCAAAAACTAGTAATCTCATAATAATTGGCTTTCCAATATGCAAATTTAAGTTATATCTTATTTTTACAAATAAATTTGTTTAACATTTGAATTTAAATTTTAAAGGTAGATGACCTAAGGTGCATACTCAAAGAACAGGTACTGATTCTAGCTGATAAATTAATCATTAGTTAAAATTACTAATAATAAATTTATTAGCTAAAATCAGATTCAAATCATTCTTGATTTAATTTTTACTAATGATTTTTATCATCAGTAAAAATTAAATCAAGAATGTTATATGTGTTTGGGTTGTTCTGAAAAGTTGGGATCAATACATGCTGAATAAGATATTCATTGCTAAAGGTCTCATAAAATTTATTTTTAATTGAGTTTTCATTTTCATATAATGATTGTACATAACTATTTGACCAAGTTATATTTGGAAAACTAAAATCCCCCATCACTAAAATATCTTTAAAACTTTGATCATAAGTAAATGATTTTGACTTGTTTAATGTTCTGATAAGCGCATTGATACATAAGTTGTCACTCGGTCTGCATATACACCCAGCCTAATCTTCACCGCAAATTAAAGCTACCCACTCCTGCTCAAGCTCACTAGAATTCAATATTTTGTCATTCACTTCATATAAGATTATACTTGAATTCACATAAGGAGTAACTCCTCCTTTTCTTCCATCATTTCAGTCTCTCCTATATACGCAAAACCCAACCATATTTTACAAGAGGTGTGTCTTTAAACCAAGTTTTTGTTACTCCAATCAACATAGGATTATTTTTACCACATAATACTTTAAACTCTTTCATTTTTTTTATCAAGTGATGTAGCATGAATATAATTTTTTGTTGATCTAATTTTTTTGTTTATTGAATCTAACAATTTGATTTCCACAGATGGTATATTGAAAGGGTGAATTAGGGTCCAGGGCATTATTAAGTTTGTTTCTTTTCTTTGTTAGATCAAAGCCTAACTGCCTCTCGGCTTAAAAATTGTCAATCAGAAAAAATAACACAGTAGTTTTCATTTAAGTGTTAAAATTGTTAAAATAGAAAGTATAAAATAATTATAATCATGAAATAGTGGCACATAAAATACAACAGACAATTATTTCATGTAATAAGAAATTAGTATTTCAATTATATATATATTTGCTTAGTTTTTAAAACAAAATTAAAACATTAACAAAATAATTATAACTTTTCATCTGTTACTATTATCAATGTAAAATGAGGAAGTCTATGAAATGTTAATAAGTAAAAATTAAGAAAATTTTAATGAAGAAATTAAGTTTATGTAAAAATATTTTGCTTTGTTTTTTTTATGAATTTAGTTTTTTATTTGTTTATTCTTTTTTAAATACAAAAAAAATTACTAAAAATATAAATTCTTTAATTCATTTATCAACATTTAATGATTGAGTTTCAACACTGCAAAAAACTTGAATAATTGAATTTCAACAATATAAGAAACTTTAAATGGTTGAGTTTTAACATTGCAAGATACTCTAAATTACTGAAACTGTCCTAATATATCTCAAGATATAATAATTCAGGTTAAATTTAATCAATTCATTTTTAATTCAATTCTTTCTTTTGAGGATCAGTATCTAGGCACAATGAATATACTATATAGATTTGATATGCTCAAGAAATATTCCTTACATATTTTGATAAAATTACACAATAAATGCTTAAGTTGATTGAAAACATTTTAGTGTTATAATAACAGATTATAGTTTAATCATGTAAGTATGGTTTCCTCAATACCATTCAAATTTGTTTGGAGGACTTTGTTTTGTTACATATTAATTTAACAACAGTTGTTGTTTTTTTAATCTGAATATCTGTTCTGTCTTCATGCTTACCTATTTATAGTTAATTTCAAATTATTATTTTAGCTTTTTTGGTATAAAGTTATATGATCATAGTGTTTTTGTTTTAGCATCAAAAGGAAAGCTTCCAATAAAATGGATGGCCCCTGAATCCATAAATTTTCGACGATTTTCTTCCAAGTCTGACGTGTGGATGTTTGGTGTGTGTTGCTGGGAAATACTTATGTATGGAGTAAAACCTTTTCAGGGAGTTCCCAATGAAAAAGTTATAGGGAAAATTGAAAATGGAGAGAGGCTGCAGCTTCCACCTAATTGTCCACCCACTTTATATCATATAATGACAGAAACTTGGTTGTATGATCCAGAAAAACGTCCAACATTTCAGCAAATGAAACTAAGGCTAAGGTAAAAGCGATTATATTTTAAATTTATTTTTAAATAGTTTAAACTGTTTGAATTATTTTCCAAAAGTTGAAACTTTGTAAATAATTTTCCAAAAGTTTAAAATTTGTAAATTATTTTCCAAAAGAATTTCCAAGAATTTCCAAAAATTTTAACTTTGTTAATTATTTTGTAATAAACACAGTAAATAATTTTAGTGCAATTGCAGAAGAAGAAAAAAACTCTGTTCTAGAACGAAAGAAAAAAGAAGAACGAAGAATGCATGCCAAGCCTCTAAGTAAATACTATTTTAAATTATAATAAAATGCATTATTATCACATTATAGCACTGGATTCAGTTAAAAATCATCTATTACAAATTAAAATTAGGTATAAATAATAAAATTATTTTAAAAAGTGAAAATTTAATTCAATCAAATATAAAAGTTTCGATATTTACAAAAAGAAAAAACTAAAGACACAAAAAAAGTCAGTTAAAAGCATCATGCTATCAAGCAAAAGCACCAACACAATAGCAAAGTATTATTTAAAAGTTTTGTGCTTACACAGCCCCAACCATTGAGGACTACCATATTAATTTAATTTCTTGTTAACTTTTGTGATTATTTAAAAGCGAAGTATTGAAGTTCAACATGTTTTGAAATACCAGCTACTTTAGCTCTTCTTTTTTTAGTTTCTTGTCAATCTATCTATTTGCTAATGATAAAAATCTGTTACAAATCTTTATGCAAAAATATAAATTATAATATTGTATCTAAAAAGTATAGTTCACTGATTAAATGTTTAATTTGTCTTACAATCAAAAAAATGAACAAATATTATTTATCTACTAGTAAAAACTGTTTTATTAACAGTTTTAAAAGTAGAATCAAAATTAGTAATAAACAAATACATCTTATTGAGGTTTATTATCTTAGCTAATCATCAAATTTTTTGTAAAATTTTTGTATTGATGAAATTGGTAAAAAAGCTTTCAAAAGTTTCACGTTTATGAGTAACCTCTACAACATTAAGGTTACTCATAAAAATATTTACTTAGCATTATTTTTAACTAAATTACTTTTGTCAAGTTTGGGTCAAATTTGCAACTACAACATATGCAATTTATTTTTTTGACTCTTTTGAATTAAAAATTTATTCTCTTCAATTATCAGCACTTTTAGATAAAGTAGAAATACATTCATTCTGTACTAGAAATATATAACGTAGAAAGCCAAATGTCTGAACACTTGTAGACATATACAGACTATAATTTTTTTATGTATGATCTATGTATGTCAATATATTTACCATATTTATTAATTAGTGTCACTCCTTTGATCAGACATCTATAGGACATTCTTATCAATAATCATCTTATTAAATTATTATTTTGTTAATATTTATTAATTGTTTTATTTATTATTAAATTTTTATTATTGTTATTACTATTGCTATTGTAAATGATTATTAAAGAAAAAACAATAGTTTCTAGTTTTCTGAAAAGATACTTACTTTTAGTGACAGATTTATTATATAATAAAATGGCTGTTAAATATAATCTCACTAAGACTACTTGAACACCTTTAAGTAATCTTGGTGATAGGTTGTCTAAATCTGTGCTTTTGGTAACTATCATTTATTTTAGTTCCTGTGTTTTTTTCTTATTTTCTTTTTACTGATTGGTTCCCATGCTCTTTCTTTCTTTTTTTTTTTTCTTTTTTTTACTTCACTTATTAGTGCAATACTGTCAAACATTGATTTTAATAAGCAACTAAAAGGAAGGTTGCTTTATTTAAAATCTCATATTCATAATTTAAATGGCAATTTATTGACCTTAAACTTTTAAAATCTTGGCGTTTTAATTTTTAGAACTGCAACTTTGTACAGTTCTAAAAATTAAAACTTGGCGTTTTAATTTTTAGAACTGCAACAGGAAAGAAGTTTTTTTCTAATACATACCATGGTTCCTGATGCAGATTGGAAAAGTTTTAACTTTGGTGACATTAATAAATAGTGAGTCAATCAATGTCAAATATGTTAAGCTAAGGCATTCATTTTTAATCAGTTGGTTGCCATTTTGATAAATTGGTTATTTAACATTTCTAACAATATATTACTTTTTGATACTGTTGTTTAATCATATTTTTAATAACTTTTTATTATCTCTAAGAAAGTAATTTCATGACATAGATGGAAAATTTCAATGACATAGACGGAAAATTTCAATGACATGACATAGATGGAAAATTTCATGAAATGGACGTTTTAAATTTGTTTAAAATTTTTAGATTTTCTTCAATATAGTTACCAGTAATAATAAAGAAGTTTTTAGATTTTCTTCAATATACCCACCAGTAATAATAAAGAAGTTTTTAGATTTTCTTCAATATATCCACCAGTAATAATAAAGAAATTTTTAGATTTTCTTCAATATATATAAATAAGTAATAATAAAGAAATTTTACTTAAATATTACTTTAATGTTAATATAAATTAATAAAATTTATTTAATTTAATTTAATAAAATTTAATTTAATTAATAACAGTTTTCTTTTTAATGGATAAAAACAATGAACTCTACATATTTTCTAAATATTTCCCTCTACATATACCTATTTGTATTTACAATGTATTAACAATACTATCTGGTTGTATAAAACTTTTCTTTCTTTTCTTTTTTCTTTGGTTCTTTAATTAGAAAATAGTTTATGTAGATAAATGTAACTTTATCTACATAAATTGCTTGACTCAAAATTGTGACTATAAGGTTTACAAATTCTTTATATATTAAACTAAATATTTACACCAACTTAATATATGTCAGACTTATATTCCATTCTTTAACAAGAGAAGAGGTATGTAGAGCAGAAGTACTACAAAGGTAGAACTAGCTTCTGATGGTAATAATAATTGAATGGGTATCTAATATATATATAAAAAAGTTACATATAATGAAGGACAGTACATTTTTTAAATTAACTACACAAACATACAAGATCATACCCAACAAACATACCAGTTGCTCTGATCACAAGTTAAAATAGTAAGCTATATTTTTACATACATTTAATGCTTGACTTATATTCCATTCTTTAACCTGAGCAAAAGTGTTGCATAGGTATAACTAACTTCTGAAGATTGGAATAGAATGGGCACCTACCTAATATATAAAATCAATATAAAAAATATATATACAGGCCTTGTGATGAATAAAAACTGCGCGAGGCATAAGCTTGACGTGATTTTTGATGCCATTAAATTCTTTTTATTTGCTTTTAATATTTATCGACATTAACTACACCAATTTACTTAATTACCGCAAAACTACTTTAAATCATTAATGTTATTATTTTAAAATGTTTTGGAATGTTTTGTTTTTTAAAATGTAAAAACATTTGTTTATTTTCTCGACGTTTGACACGTTTTGTCTATACTAAACAAATAAAAAACATTATAACTAAACATTTAAAAAAGATTATAAAATATGCTAATATTTGATTTTTTTTTTTCTCAAATATGTAATTTAAAGTTTTTCAAATAATTATTTTTTCTTTTTAAAAAGTTAGCGAGTAATAAACTGGAAATTTTAATATTGTACGATTAAAAACTGTGCAATAGCTAATATTTTTACCAGCGATTTTATATAATATTTTTTTATTTATTTATTTTTATTTATTTTCATAAAGCGGTTGATAAGCACAATCACTCGTATTACTAAAAAACTTTAACAAACGTTTTAAATATATTTTTAATGTTAACAAGGAATTTTATTTCTAGTAAAATAAAATAAAATAAAATGTTAGAATGAAAATATTATAGGTATAAAAGACATATTTCAGCGAAAAAAATTGCATATTGAACAATATTTAATAAAAGGTGCGCTAAAATAAAAAAAAGAAAACATTACGGTTGATGAATTATTATGAGAATTAATTTTTATTTTATTTTTTACATTTATTGAGCCTTTTTCAGGGTGTTTGTGGAAATTCGCTTTACATCGGTAGAAACCGGGTAACAAAACCAGGTTATATAAACTTATTAAACTATTGACGCTCTATTTTTCAGCATCTATTCTTGAGCACGCTTCGTTGAGTTTTGGTAACTTTTAACAAAAAAGCGATTGTTATTATTTAAGTAATTTTTTTGAGTTACTTTTTACAAAAATTTTGATAACTGTACTTTTTTATTGAATCAAGTAGAATACGTTTTAATATTAATCCTTTTATTTTTTTTTATTTGCGCTTACCAATTTTAAAAATGTTTTCTTGAAATTACTCTTAAATACTTTAAATACGTCTAACAGTTAATAAATATTTTTAGATCTATGGAATAATTTTAAAACCTAACAAACCCCCATAAAAAAATTATTTAAGTTAAAAATCTAAAACTAAAAGAAAGTATTTTTGTTCAATTTTATCGACAACTTTGCTATTGCTGAATAATTTTATTAAAATGTTAGCTTAAAAAGATTTAAACTTTTTTTTTAATCTGAATTTTTTCTACTTGTAAATAATGAGCACATTTAATTTTTTTGTAATTCAAACATTTATATCAGTTGCGTGCGGTTTTTAAAATACTTTATTAAATGTTAAAATAATCGTAAATTACTTCATTAAAATTCTGCTCAAAAATATATTTAAATATGCTCAAACAAAAAATTTTTTGCTTAACGCAAATAGCCCTAGCTACATGCAAAATCGCTCTTGGATGATGTAAAATTCACATCGCTCGACGCTTTATCACAAAGCCTATATATATATATATATATATATATATATATATATATATATATATATATATATATATATATATATATATATATATATATATATATATATGTATATATATATATATATATATATATATATACATATATATATACATATATATATATATATATATATATATATATATATATATATATATATATATATATATATATATATATATATATACATATATATAAACATATATATATATATATATATATATATATATATATATATATATATATATATATATATATATATATATATATATATATATATATATATATATATATATATATATGTATATATATATATATATATATATATATATACATATATATATATATATATATATATATATATACATATATATACATATATATATACATATATATATATATACATATATATATATATATATATATATATATATATATATATATATATATATATATATATATATATATATATATATATATATATATATATATATATATATATATATATATATATATGTATATATATA